CCCAAATGTTTTCAGAATAATTTGAAGTAATGCCAGTATATATTATTTAGTGAAAAGTCTAGTGACATCCCTAAAAATGCAGAGACAGTACATCTAGCCTCTCCCAAATCGCTTGCTTTCCTTATTGCGTGCCGGCTAACAGACGAAATTCGGTTTAACCTACTCATGTGATATTCGATCCAACAAATCCATAAGCTGGTAGGTTTCATAGGGTCAAATGGGCGAATTCCGACTCGGTAAACTATATCAAAATCAAGCTTGTGGAATGTCTTCCCAAAACTATACCAATTCAAACCTTCCAAAACGAGAATGAGAGTATAACCCCTCAGTCGACTCAAAAGCACTGATGTTTTGTTTATATCTGCAATGTAGCTCGTCAATGCATGTCGGATTGCGGCCCAGCTGCAGTTATCCCTTGGATCAGTGAAATCATTTAATGAACTATGGGCACTTCCTAACATGCCTCTGTGAGTTTTACGCGTCGATACTACTGGGAAACTCGGTAGACAGAACTTGCATGAGTGAAGTGTAAACTGGGAGTGTCTTGAGTTAAATAGAGGGAGGAAAATATAATTTCAAAAGGTGCAGCCTTATATCACCACCTTCGACACCCCTCAATAGAAATCAGAGAGTTCACATTTTGATACGACATGCGGCTTTCGACTCGCTAACCGACGGACAAAGTGGAAAGTGTGGTCACTTAGGATGACAGTGTATGGGCACTGGTTGGCCCTCTGTTACCCAGGCTATGATACTCTGTCAGAAATCCTGTTTTCACAAGTCAATGATGGTACATTATCTGACCGCGTAGAAGCACCACTGACATACCAAATTTCACTGTGGAATTAATATCTCATCCATTCTATCCACCAGCTTGTGTGGCCATTCAAGATGGATTGATAATGTAACTACTTGGTCCCTTCTTGAACACTTACTCTAGATGCATTTTTTCGAACCACAGACAATTCAATGACATGCTGTATGTTGTTACTGATTACAGAACAATAACGTTGTACACGTTCCCACTGTTTCGCGAATTTCCGCTTATACAACAAAATATGTCTCGAACACCTAGGCATCACCTTTTAAAAGGTCGTTTCGATTACCGTTTCACTCTCGTTCATGAAGTTTACTTCATCTGTTATGTTATGTGCACGGATTTAGATGGTTTACTGGAAACGGGACTTCGTTTCCGTTAGCAAAAGGACCTCTCCCGCGTGATCTACTGATTTTCGAATGTCCCATTTTGTCACGTGTACATTTCCGGCTTGAGAGCAAACAGCATTAGTCGGACTCGTCTCCACCAGCCAAGGAACTATTTGATGCTACAGTAGGTATGTCAGGACGCGCCCAGAGAGGAAAAAGAGCACACGTGCAGAGAGTGACGCATCCCCAAGTTCACCATCGGTACGACACGTCCACAAAGCAGGTGAGTTGGCGGAGCTCACCAAACACGGTTTAGCAAAATATGACCAGCGTAGTGGGCCTAAGATTGTTCACGACCGGAACACCACCATTGACTGTACAGAACGAACAAGTGAACGACCATATTTGGCCATTTAGTCATCCTATATATTTACGCAGACGCCCTGTATGTTTTGTCCTGGCAATACAGCAGTGTCCCCAGTTCTCTGTCTTCTCCCTATCACGTAGTCTGGCAGGCTCAGTGCAGGCGTAACCAATAGATGGCTACCCACGTTACAACAAGGTGCCTGTTTGATGAGTAGAACATAAGGTTGACGGAAACTCGGGGACTGTGCCTACCTGATGAGCCCCAAGAAGGGCAAAACCGGTCGAGGGCTGTCGAAGAATTTTCAGCAACCTTGTGAGTAGTTTCGTTTATAAAAATATACAGCGATCTCTCGAATATCGTGGCAACTGAAACAAGAGGCGGCCTTTGTGCAGCACATTCAGTTGGGAAATATCATAAAGGAGATTCCGTTGAGTCTTCCTGAAAAGTGGCCGAACAGTTAAGTGTCCTTCCACTAGCAACAGGTCACGGGTTCGAAACTCCCCTGAGTTCCTAAGATCCCCATTAAGAATGGAGTAGCAGCACGCTGTCTCTCGGCTTTTCAGATTGGCCCCCTTACAGAACAAAATCACAATACGAATTACATGACTATCGGACCCAAATGTTTTCAGAATAATTTGAAGTAATGCCAGTATATATTATTTAGTGAAAAGTCTAGTGACATCCCTAAAAATGCAGAGACAGTACATCTAGCCTCTCCCAAATCGCTTGCTTTCCTTATTGCGTGCCGGCTAACAGACGAAATTCGGTTTAACCTACTCATGTGATATTCGATCCAACAAATCCATAAGCTGGTAGGTTTCATAGGGTCAAATGGGCGAATTCCGACTCGGTAAACTATATCAAAATCAAGCTTGTGGAATGTCTTCCCAAAACTATACCAATTCAAATCTTTCAAAACGAGAATGAGAGTATAACCCCTCAGTCGACTCAAAAGCACTGATGTTTTGTTTATATCTGCAATGTAGCTCGTCAATGCATGTCGGATTGCGGCCCAGCTGCAGTTATCCCTTGGATCAGTGAAATCATTTAATGAACTATGGGCACTTCCTAACATGCCTCTGTGAGTTTTACGCGTCGATACTACTGGGAAACTCGGTAGACAGAACTTGCATGAGTGAAGTGTAAACTGGGAGTGTCTTGAGTTAAATAGAGGGAGGAAAATATAATTTCAAAAGGTGCAGCCTTATATCACCACCTTCGACACCCCTCAATAGAAATCAGAGAGTTCACATTTTGATACGACATGCGGCTTTCGACTCGCTAACCGACGGACAAAGTGGAAAGTGTGGTCACTTAGGATGACAGTGTATGGGCACTGGTTGGCCCTCTGTTACCCAGGCTATGATACTCTGTCAGAAATCCTGTTTTCACAAGTCAATGATGGTACATTATCTGACCGCGTAGAAGCACCACTGACATACCAAATTTCACTGTGGAATTAATATCTCATCCATTCTATCCACCAGCTTGTGTGGCCATTCAAGATGGATTGATAATGTAACTACTTGGTCCCTTCTTGAACACTTACTCTAGATGCATTTTTTCGAACCACAGACAATTCAATGACATGCTGTATGTTGTTACTGATTACAGAACAATAACGTTGTACACGTTCCCACTGTTTCGCGAATTTCCGCTTATACAACAAAATATGTCTCGAACACCTAGGCATCACCTTTTAAAAGGTCGTTTCGATTACCGTTTCACTCTCGTTCATGAAGTTTACTTCATCTGTTATGTTATGTGCACGGATTTAGATGGTTTACTGGAAACGGGACTTCGTTTCCGTTAGCAAAAGGACCTCTCCCGCGTGATCTACTGATTTTCGAATGTCCCATTTTGTCACGTGTACATTTCCGGCTTGAGAGCAAACAGCATTAGTCGGACTCGTCTCCACCAGCCAAGGAACTATTTGATGCTACAGTAGGTATGTCAGGACGCGCCCAGAGAGGAAAAAGAGCACACGTGCAGAGAGTGACGCATCCCCAAGTTCACCATCGGTACGACACGTCCACAAAGCAGGTGAGTTGGCGGAGCTCACCAAACACGGTTTAGCAAAATATGACCAGCGTAGTGGGCCTAAGATCGTTCACGACCGGAACACCACCATTGACTGTACAGAACGAACAAGTGAACGACCATATTTGGCCATTTAGTCATCCTATATATTTACGCAGACGCCCTGTATGTTTTGTCCTGGCAATACAGCAGTGTCCCCAGTTCTCTGTCTTCTCCCTATCACGTAGTCTGGCAGGCTCAGTGCAGGCGTAACCAATAGATGGCTACCCACGTTACAACAAGGTGCCTGTTTGATGAGTAGAACATAAGGTTGACGGAAACTCGGGGACTGTGCCTACCTGATGAGCCCCAAGAAGGGCAAAACCGGTCGAGGGCTGTCGAAGAATTTTCAGCAACCTTGTGAGTAGTTTCGTTTATAAAAATATACAGCGATCTCTCGAATATCGTGTCAACTGAAACATGAGGCGGCCTGTGTGCAGCACATTCACATTGAAGAATATCATAAACGGGAGATTCAGTTGAGTCTATCGTGAAAACCAAATCGGTTCGCAAATGACTGTATTTCTCGAAACCTTAGCCTTATATTTGGCGACGGAAGATGTATGACGTCGTGCCTTCAGGCTGCTCCTGAACCCAACTGTGAAAACCTCGTTAGTCAGACGTCGGCTGATCACAGTACGAAATGCGTGCATGTAGTCCAAAATCCGGGGCAAAATAGCTGTCCACTTTCCCAGTTTTCAAATTGACATTGTTGCAACTGATGCGGTCCTGTACGACGTTACAACGCAAGGCGTTACACATCTGGGCATGTTTCCTAATCTCATTGAGTTCTTAATGTGTCTTGCGGAACCTTGTTCGAAGAATGTTCGTCCGCAGGAATGCCTTGCCTGT